GGAGGTGGTGGGGGTGGTTGTGGGGGTGGTGGGGGTGGTGGGTGGTTGTGGTGGTGGTGGTGGGTGGTGGTGGGTGGTGGTGGGGGTGGTGGTGGTGGGGGGTGGTGGGTGGTTGTGGTGGTGGTGGTGGGGGTGGTGGTGGGTGGTGGTGGGGGTGGTGGGGGTGGTGGTTGTGGTGGTGGTGGTGGGGGTGGTGGGTGGTTGTCGTGGTGGTGGTGGGGGTGGGGGTGGTGGTGGGTGGTGGTGGTGGTGGTGGGGGTGGTGGCGGTGGTGGGTGGTGGTGGGTGGTGGTGGTGGTGGGTGGTTGTGGTGGTGGGGGTGGTGGCGGTGGTGGGTGGTGGTCGGTGGTGGTGGTGGATGGTGGTCAGACCCCCCCCCCTTAAATATGACGTCACAAAGCTCTGCCCCCCCCCCCAAACCATATTTCCATTTTGAAAATAAACTTGCTTCAAATCGCTTTGAAGTGCGTATTTAACGTGGCGCTGCACTCTGATGTTGTAGGAGAAAACATTTATTAAAAAGTTTATTTTATTAAGTAGAACGTGTTGTCTATATTTATTTAAAGTTGCGCATTTTGATGTGACGTCACATTTCTCAAACCCCCCCCCCCTCGTCACACATCGTCACAAATGTCTGACCCCCCCCCCTGCCCTAGGTGCGTGACGTCATTTATGGACGGCCCCTAATCTCCCCCGTTAACACAACTGACGTGCTTGCATCCGGGTATGGAATTTCTTTCCACCTGTTGCATTGTTTCATCAAACCCTCTATGTAGTTAATAACATTGTTACATTTCTATTTTTACGTTTGAAAAACAAAGGGGCCGTCCATAAATGACAAAGTGGCGTATCACGTGGACATTTGTAGCAGGCGAACACTTTATAAAAGCACGTGGATTTTAAATGTGGAGGGAAAAACCGGAGGACCCGGAGAAAAATTCCCGCAAAAATGGGGGGGGAGGGAGAGACGCGAAAACTCCAAAAATATACAGCAGCAGCAGGTGTCAGGGTCGGGATCGAACCCACGACCTCCTGTATACCAGGCGAGGTAGTTAACATCTCCTAGCCACCGTGATGACGAGAGAAACGCAAACTCCAAATATACAGCAGCAGGCGTCAGAGTCGGGTTCAAACCCACGACCTCCTGCATACCAGGCGAGGTAGTTAACATCTCCTAGCCACAGTGGCGCCCTGAAGCTCAATGGGTGCTGCAATTGGTCCAGGTGTCACCCCATTGATTTGAAGCTTTCGTGACTGCAGGAATCCATACTCTTTGGCTCTTTCGGTAAAGTCACGTGGGTATAAAATAAAATAAAACAAATCACGACGTTTCGATCGCAACGCAAGCGACCGTCATCAGGCCTGACTACGTGACTTTACCGAAAGAACCAAATAGTATGGCGCCCCATTGATTTTATTTGTCTCTCGCACGGTCGCACCTAGAGGCTATTATATTTACAGCTTAAATAGACGCTCCAAGCCTGGGGTGTTTCATTCAGACGCTGTCTTCCCGACAGACCCGTTCTTCACCTGAGGACGGCTGCTTGCGTTGTGGCCGAAACGTCGTGAGAATTATTTTATTATGTTTTATTTTTATTATTTTATTATTTCCCTTCTACGTGACTTTACCGAAAGAACCAAGAAGAAGAAGTCTCCAGTAGTCGTGTGGCGACTGTGGTTCATCCAGAACAGACCGTACGACGTTTGACGACGCAATGCCCCGATCCACAAATACGAAGGAGACATCGTGGCGATGATACGCTCCTCCGCTGCTTCAGACGCTGTCTCCCCGACAGACCTGTTCTTCAACTGAGGACGGCTGCTTGCGTTGCGGCCGAAACGTCGTGACAATTATTTTAAAATGTTTTAATTGTATTATTTTATTACTTCCCTTCTACGTGACTTTACCGAAAGAATCAAGAAGATGAATCCCTGTAGTCACGAAAGCTTTCAATCGAAATTTAAAGCTATTTTTTTTTTATCTCTGGCTCCTCTTGCCCGAGTCGCATCACGTTTATGCCCGGTCTCGAACAACACTTGTGTTCAGAATGCAAACAATGCAAACAGAAAACACGCTCTGATAATATAAATGAATTGTCTTTGAAACTGATTGGTCCACGCCAGAGACGTGTGTGTTTAATGTGGCGCTGCACTCTGATGTTGTAAGAGAAAACATTTATTAGAAAGTCTATTTAATTAAGTAGAACGTGTTGACGATATTTATTTAAAGTTGCGCATTTTGATGTGACGTCACATTTCTCAACCCCCCCCCCCCTCGTCACACATCGTCACAAATGTCTAACCCCCCCCCCCCTAGGTGCGTGACGTCATTTATGGACGGCCCCATAAGCCCGCGGGTAGGTTTTCCCTGCAGCTTGAAACAAATGTCTGCGTCGAAGCGCAGAGCGAGAGGCGGTTGTAGCGATTTGGGGAAACGGAACTGCAAGGCACGTGGGACATTGCGAGATGTTAACTCCCTCGCCTGGTGTACAGGAGGTCGTCGGTTCCATCAACCGACCCTGACGCCTGCTGCTGTATAATCGTCGGGGGTCTGCGTGTGACTCTCCCCGTGGTCGCGTGGATTTTTCCTCCGGTTTTTTTAAAATCCTTGATACTAAGTTCACTTGCTTGCTTGCACGCTTACGACCGTGCAAATCTTTCGGTCGTTTTTTAACCCACTTCCCGTGATCCAATCGAGCTGACATTTTGCACACAGACTCGTTGTGCGTGACAATTTATTTTCGTGAAAAAAAATCAAAAATTTTACTCTTATTAGGAATTTTTTTGTATATTTAACTACCAATTGCTTAATAGTGACAGGCAATCATCTGACCCATAGGTGGCAGCCATCTCAAGCCAGAGGACGAGAGGACTCTAGCCGCCACGCATATAAAGGATTTATAGTGAAAAACTTTGTTTTTACGGGTTAATTTTTATTCCCTCCGAATTTAGAATGAACGTCACCCACGCGTTTCGAGTGTTTGGTCTGCTAGATAATTTCACGCGATGGTGAGCCCGCTTCTTCGGGCTATCATTTGCGGTCAGGTCGCTTTTGCAAAACGAGCTATCATAGCCCAGTTTAGTACGTACGCATGCAGGATGGGGGGGGGGGGGCTTTGACCCAAATGCGTAGCTTGCGTATGGGAGGTCTACTGGCAATGTGCGTACGCATAGGAAACGGGGGGAGGGGGAAGCCTCGATAATAATGTATCTACTTTGGCCTTCAAATTAGTTAGATAATCCGGCGGTGTGGACTCTCTGTTTCTGTTCGCTTAAACACTCTAGATTTGAAGTTTTCGTGACCGCAGAGATCAATATTCTTTGGTTCTTTCGGTAAAGTCAACGTAGGTATAAAATAAAATAAATTAAATCACGACGCTTCGATTGCAACACAAGCAATCATCATCAGGTGGGAAAACCACCGCAAGAAACAAATCTTGCTGTGGTTTTACCAGCTGATGATTGCTTGTGTTGCAATCGAAACGTCGTGATTTGCTTGAACACGTTAAAATTACACCGGTCAACACAATTTTTCTGGCATAAGGTATTCCAACGGGTTTAAGGTAATTTTGGGGTGCTGATTCCAAATCTGTCATCAGTTTTTGTCTATCACATCAGGTTGTCGAGATATCAAATATTGCATTTTCAATAAAAACTGCAGAAGAAAAATATTAAATGAATGTGGATATCTACATAAAATGATATTATAAACACACTATCCTAAAAATACAGCACCATATTTTAACACTAAAGCAGTCACTGACTCGCAACAACTTGCAATCATAAGTGACGGAGTTAATTTCGGGTAAAATCAATAAAAATGGGGTATGCCGATAGCATAACAATTATATGATAGAGCAAATCTGAGATCAGATTTGGAATCAGCACCCTGAAATTAGTCTAAAACAGCTGCAAAAGTCCAGGCCAGAATTTTTTTTTGGTTGACCAGTATTATTCATCTTTGATCGTTTCTGCGCAGATTAAATATCGGTCGTTCTATAAGATTCGGGGGGGGGGGGGGGTGCGTCAAGCGTAGGTACGCAGGTTAGGGGGGGAAGGTGTAAAAAGTCCGCGTCCGTACAGGGAGAAGGGGGGGGGGTCAAGTTTTGACAGAGTTTTGCGTACGCACTAAATGGATGGCCTCTTAGCGCGCAGCACCACAAACCCAGCGACCCCCACCACCACCACAACCCCCAAGCGAATTCGATGTCCGCTCCACGGCCACAACCAACACCGGTGACGATTGTCTGCACCGGTTCTGGGCCTCCCCTAGGTCGACTCGGCCTCAAATAGGAGCGCCTGGTGGGTGGGGGGAAGGGAGACAAAGGTGGCCGTGCGAGGTGCTGGCCAGCCCACACACCTCGTGTGCCGTGTCGACATTCAATAGGTGCTGTTGGCTAGAAGCATTACCACCCCATACTCTTTGGTTATTTCGGTAAAGTCACGTAGGTATAAGATATAAAAGCAATCAAATCCCGACGTTTCGACTGCAACACAAGCAATCGTCCTCAGGTGTGAAAACTACAGCAAGAAACATTTTTCAGCTACATTTTTTTTTCTTGCCGTAGTTTTCACACCTGATGGTGATTGCTTGTGTTGCAATCGAAACGTCGTTATTTAATTTCTGTTATATTTTATTCTTTATTTTAATTTGTATTCTTATTTTTTTATTTCACCTGCGTGACTTTACCGAAAGAACCAAAGAGTATGGATCTTGGCAATCACGAAAACTTCAAATCTAGAACGAACATTACCACCCCCCCCCCCCAAAAAACACAATCCATTGCGGCGATCCGGGTGTGTGTGTGTGTGGGTGGGGGGTGTGGGGATCTTGGTGTTTGTGTGGACATAGTTGGTGGCGATGGGGGGGGGGTATTATAACGAGAGATACCCGCTACACCCCCACCCCCATCTCTCTCTCTGTGGACGGGAGGTCAGCAGGCTGTGACAATGCGTGGAAGGAAGAGAAGGAGCGTTTTCAATTCGTCACCAGCCCTTGTCACGGCCTATGTGACGAGCGGTCCGCTGCGAATTCCATCCGCTGGACATCGACAGCCGGGAGGGGGGGGGGGGGCCTTATCCGGAGGACGCCTTCTCTCGCTCTGCTCCTCTCTCTCTCTCTTTGAGCATCACGAATCTCAAACTACTCAACGCGATTGTCAGCCGAAGCGATAGGCGCCGTGAATGTCCGCAGAGTTGCCGCGGCTGTCGAGAGCGATCGAGAGGCTATCGTCATCATCATCACCAGCACCATTACAACCGTCGTCTTTCTCGTGTTGGGCAGCATCAGCATGCCAGCGCTGATCCTGCTGTGTCTGCTACTGGCCGCGGTGAACGTGCTGGCAGGTGAGTGGCAGAAACGAGGGGGGCTTTGCTGAGTCCCACAAAGAAAGGAAATTGCTTTGGAATGTTTCTCGGGGCGTGCGCGTGCGTAGCGGAATTCATTGATTAACATTTCATTAAGCGGCTTGTTTTTAATTGTTGTAGTGGCGGTGGTGGCGAGCGGTCGTGCAAGCGGTTAGCGCTACGAACTCGGCGACCCCGAATTCGATTCCCGCTCACGGCCAACAACAACAACTGTGACCGATTATATCTGAACCGGTCCTGGGCCTCCCCTAGGTCGACTCGGCCTCAAAATGAGAACCTGGTTGCGGTGTGTGGTAAACATCGCCACTGGGGAGACAAAGGCGGCCGGGCGTGGTGCTGGCCACCCACCCCCTCGTGTACCGTTCCGGCCTTCTTAGGTGTTCGCTAACAGCACTTGCCCCTACAGTCTGTTACAATCTTGATTTGAAGTTATCGTGACTGCAGAAATCCATACCCCATGAAAGCCTTGAGCACGTTGGCACACGCTAGGGCTGAACGATTTGGGAAAAACGTCTAATTACGATTTTTCTGACATTACGATTTGATCTGCGATAAAAAAAAATGTTTTAAGACAAGCTTCAGTTCAATATTCACTGTGTAATAGATGTAAAACATGCGATGGAGCATTACCACGTGATACCATCAAACTATGAACTGCTCTATGTATCATACTCTCTGGTTCTTTCGGTAAAGTCACGTAGGTAGAATTATTTTTTATATCACGACGTTTCGAGTGCAACACAAGCGGTCGTCCTTAGGCGGAAAAAAATGTATCCAGCAGAAGAACTGTTGAACCAGTTTGTTAAAGGCTACACAGGGGATCTGTGTCGCCTTTGCTGACGGTGAGAGTGGAGGTGCAAGATTGATTTCAACTGCACGAGCGTACAACTCACGTTAGCAGGTAGCCGACCGATGGCTTTAAAAGTTTAAATGCTAAACGCGCGTGTGTGTGCGCTTGGGTACGTTAAACAACGTGTCCTGTCCATCGGTGCCGTTCGCGTCCATGTCCAAGGTTTGTTTGACCGCGTGTGAAGCGAGTCGATTTCAAAGTGTGCGTATGGTGGTGTCCGTTTCAAGCACTCTGTGTCCGTGTGTTTGTGTGTCGTGTTGATCGCTGTGTCTGTCAATGATGCTCGTCTTTGAGTGCGCGTGCGTTGAACTTCTTTCGCGCCGTACGTCGCCAATTCGTGCTGATGGGTGGTGTAAAGTGTGCCTGTCTGTCTGCGCGTACTCCTGCGTGTGAGAGTCCGTGTGGGTTCAAGACTGACACGGGAGGATTTCCCCATAGCTTCTGGCCGTCGCCTGATGATGCTGGTGGTTGTTGTTGTTGTTATAATGACCGGCAAAACGTCACAGTAATCTAATTGTAAATGTTGTAGTGGGTTTTACTCTCCAACACACAATTAGTGTAGTGCTGTACTAGTATACTACACTATACACTACACTATACACTACACTACTATACACTACACTATACAATACACTACTTTACACTACGCTATACACTACACTATACACTATACTATACACTACTATTCACTACACTATACACTACTATAGACTAGACTACTATACACTACACTATACACTACACTTTACACTACTATACACTACACTATACACTACACTACACACTACACTATACACTACACTTTACACTACTATACACTACACTATACACTACTATAGACTAGACTACTATACACTACACTATACACTACACTATACACTACACTATACACTACACTTTACACTACTATACACTACACTATACACTACTATAGACTAGACTACTATACACTACACTATACACTACTATAGACTACACTATACACTACACTAAACAATACACTACTTTACACTACACTATACACTACACTATAATTGTAAATGTTGTAGTGGGTTTTACTCTCCAACACACAATCGGTGTAGTGCTGTACTCGTATACTACACTATACACTACACTACTATACACTACACTATACACTACACTATACACTACTATACACTCCACTATACAATACACTACTTTACACTACACTATACACTACTATACACTACACTATTCAAAACACTACTTTACACTACACTATACACTACTATACACTAGACTATACACTACTATATACTACACTACTATACACTACTATAGACTACACTACTATACACTAATTTACACTACACAATACACTACTATACACTACACTATACAATACACTAATTTACACTACACTATACACTACTATACACTACACTATACACTACTATAGACTACACTGCTATACGCTACACTAGATTTAAAGCTTTCGTGACTGCAAGGATTCATACTCTTGGGTTTTTTCGGTAAAGTCACGTAGGTAAAAAATACAATTAAAAGTTAATAAAAGTATTATTTTATTTTATTTCCATTATTACTTTTATTAACTTTAAATTTTATTTTTTACCTACGTGACTTTACCGAAAAAACCCAAGAGTATACACTACACTATACACAACACTATACACTACACTATAGTTGTAAATGTTGTAGTGGGTTTTACTCTCCAACACAATCGTTGTGGTGCTGAACCAGTAACGAATTGGCCACGTTCTGTTTACGTGACAAACCTTTTACTAATTGGCCGTGTCGGGTGGTGGCGGGTTTAACGACACATTTGTATTTACGCGATTTAACCTTAAAAAAAATCCCTCTAATGGATCATAGTGGTCGCGAAAACCTCCTCCTACCACGTGTTAAACCCAGCTCCGCGTGTCTGTTTACGTGTGTCTATGTAAACACTGCACGGTGTGCGTGCGCGTGTGTGTCTTAGTAATGCATGCGTCTGTGTGTGTGTACACACACACGTCCTTGTGTGTGCGCGTGTGTCTTTGGGTTACGTGTCCGTGAGTGCGTGCGTGCGTCCGAGAAGTGGGGAGCGGTGGTGCAGCGGTTAGCGCGCTGCGCTATGAACCTGGCGACACGGGTTCGATTCCCGCTCACGGCCACCACCAGGGACGATCGTCTGAACCGGTCCCGGGCCACCCCTAGGTCGACTCAGCCTCAAATGAGTACTTGGTGCGGTGTGTAAACATCGCCGCTAGGAAGACAAAGGCGGCCGGGCGTGGTGTTGGTCACCCACCCCCTCGTGTGCCGTTCCGGCCTTCATAGGTGCTCTCTAACAGCACTTGCCCCTACAGTCTGTTAAGGCTACACGGGGGATCTTTGCTTTGTCTGCCTGGGTGAGCGTCACCGCGTCTCCGTTCGTGCTATGTATACGTCTATGAATGTTTGTGTCTGTCTGTCACTGCTTATTAGCGGTCCGGATATGCGGGTTTGTCCGTGTCTACGAATCCCCTCGCTGCTGCTATTGTCTCCGTCTCTGTCCGTCCGTCCTTGCGTCTCATTTTCTCATTCGAAAGATCTGCGTTTGCGACCGTGCAGATACATTTATTTTGTGTTGGTTCTGCTGGTGTCGTGTGGCGTGCGAAAAAAAATGAGCTTCGTTAGCTGATCGGATTCCTCCAGTACAAATCAATATTCTGGATCTGTGCGTTTGTGTGTGTGTCTTTGCTGGGAATTCGATGCGTCCGTGCACGCCGGAATGCTGCCACGTCCAGGTGTTTTGACACAGTCTAGGGCACGCGTACCTGTGCACGCCTGCCTTAGGAGTGTGGCGGTTAGCGCACTGCGCTCCGTACCTGGCGAGCCAAAGTTCGATTCCAGCCCACGGCCATCAGCCACCGTGGCGATAATCTGAATCGCGCCTGGGACCCACCCGTCTCCCTCGATCACCAAGAACCCAACTTTCAATGAGTATTCTTGGTTCTTTCGGTAAAGTCACGTAAGAATGGATAATGATATTGTTTTATATTTATATCATTTTATTATTTTCCTTCTACGTGACTTGAATCCCTGCAGTCACAAAAATTTTAAATCAAAACTTCAATGAGTCCTTAGTGCGATGTGCAAACGTCAGCACTGGGGAGACAAAGGCGGCCGGGTGTGGTGCTGGTGACCACCCAGCCCTCGATAGGGCGTCACGGTGGCTATGAGATGTTGACTACCTCGCCTGGTATACAGGAGGTTGTGGGTTCGATCCCCGACCCTGACGCTTGCTGCTGTATATTTGGAGTTTGTGTCTCTCATCATCATCACGGTGGCTAGGAGATGTTAACTACCTCGCCTGGGTACAGGAGGTCGTGGGTTCGATCCCGATGCTGACGCCTGCTGTTGTATATTTGGAGTTTGTGTCTCTCATCATCATCACGGTGGCTAGGAGATGTTAACCACCTCACCTGGTATGCAGGAGGTCGTGGGTTCGATCCCGACCTTGACGCCTGCTGTTGTATATTTGGAGTTTTCGTCTCTCATCATCACCACGGTGACTAGGAGATGTTAACTACCTCGTCTGGTACACAGGAGGTCGTGGGTTCGATCCCGACCCTGACACCTGCTGCTGTATATTTGGAGTTTGCGTGTCTCTCTTTCTCCCCGCGGTCGCGTGGATTTTTCTCCGGCTCCTCCGGTTTCCCCCCTCCACATATGGAATCAACACCACGCGTTTTAGAGTTAATTGGCTGTTCTACATTTCCCACGTGGTTGATCATTAGCCACTTCTTTGAGCTACAATTTGTCGCTCGAGATGGGGTTGCTCAGTGGGCCGTAACCTGCTAAAACATAGTGTTATTTTGCGTAGTTTTATAGTTTAATTTGTTAGTTTAATAGGCGCGCCGTACCGGCCTTCACGAGTGATGCTCTATTGAAGGCTATAGGGGAGATTTCTAGATTTGAAGCTTTCGTGACTGCAGGAATCCATACTCTTTGGTTCTTTCGGTAAAGTCACGTAGGTAGAAAAATAAAATAAGCAATCACCTGATGATGATGATGATGATTGCTTGTGTTGCAATCGAAACGTCGTGATTTATTTTGTTGTATACCTACGTGACTTTACCGAAAGAACCAAAGAGTATAGGGGAGATATTGTGTTCGTGTGCGCGGGCCCGACTCACCACCGCGTGCACGCAAATCCATATCTGTGCGGGGTTCCAATGAGGCGTTGTCAAATCTGAAACGGATGAAAACGTCGAACAATTATGTTTTGTGTTGTGTTCACTCAAATTGTAAATCTTGTGGATTTACTCTCTAACACACTGAAGTAGTACACTGCACTATACACTACACCCATCTCATCTGCCCCGTGCTGCCCTAGACCCGTGCCAGTTTCCTGCATCTCACCTGCGCCCCGTGCTGCCCTAGACCCGTGCCAGTTTCCTGCATCTCACCTGCTACCCGTGCTGCCCTAGACCCGTGCCAGTTTCCTGCATCTCACCTGCGACCCGTGCTGCCCTAGACCCGTGCCAGTGACCCGTGCTGCCCTAGGCCCGTGCCAGTTTCCTCCATCTCACCTGCGCCCCGTGCTGCCCTAGACCCGTGCCAGTGACCCGTGCTGCCCTAGGCCCGTGCCAGTTTCCTCCATCTCACCTGCCACCCGTGCTCCTCTAGACCCGTGCCAGTTTCCTCCATCTCACCTGTGCCCCGTGCTGCCCTAGACCCGTGCCAGTTTCCTGCATCTCACCTGTGACCCGTGCTGCCCTAGACCCGTGCCAGTTTCCTGCATCTCACCTGTGCCCCGTGCTGCCCTAGACCCGTGCCAGTTTCCTGCATCTCATCTGTGACCGGTGCTGCCCTAGACCCGTGCCAGTTTCCTCCATCTCATCTGCGACCCATGCTGCCCTAGACCCGTGCCAGTGACCCGTGCTGCTCTAGACCCGTGCCAGTTTCCTGCATCTCACCTGTGACCGGTGCTGCCCTAGACCCGTGCCAGTTTCCTCCATCTCATCTGCGACCCATGCTGCCCTAGACCCGTGCCAGTGACCCGTGCTGCCCTAGGCCCGTGCCAGTTTCCTGCATCTCACCTGTGACCCGTGCTGCTCTAGACCCGTTCCAGATCCGCAACGCCAAGAGCCCCGACTGCCTGTCCACGGCCGCGGGCTCCCCGCGTCTCTGGATGTCGAAGTGCGACGAGCGGCTGCCCGGCCAGCGGTGGCTGTGGCTACCCGGGGGTCGCCTGCGCAGCCACGCGGAGGGCTCCTGCCTGGGGTACAGCGGCTCCCGCTTCCACCTGGGCCAGCTCGCCAGCCTGGTGAGCCGACGGAGGTTTTGGTTGGAATGACAACGTTTGGCGCGGATATCACTGCTGTAGGCTATGGGCTACGTTGTAGTCTAGACACAGTCTACGCTATAGACTATAGACTACACTATAGACTACACTATACACTACTATACACTACACTATACACTACACTATAGACTACACTATACACTACACACTACACTATAGATTACACTACACTCTAGTCTACAGACTACACTACTATACACTATAGACTACACTATACTATAGACTACACTATAGACTACACTATACACTACACTATACACTATAGACTACACTATACACTACAGACTATAGACTACACTATACACTATAGACTACACTATATACTACACTATATACTACACTACAGACTACATTATACACTATAGACTACACTATATACTACACTACAGACTACACTACACACTACACTATACACTACAGACTACACTATACACTACACTACAGACTACACTATACACCATAAACTACACTATATACTACACTACAGACTACAGACTACACTATACACTACGCGGCGTGTTGTGCCCCCCCCCCCCCCCACCAGGTGAGTTGCCGGCACGCCCCCGGATGGGCGTGTGTGACGCGCGACCGTGACGCGGACCTCCTGGCGGTGCGCGACCGCTCGCTGCTGCTCAGCAAGCAGGGCACGTGGGTCGTGGTGCGACACTTCGAGCGCAAGTACCCGAGCTCGTGGCGGCGCGCAGAGACCGGGCGAAGCCTCGCCTCGCTCTGCGCAGGTGAGACGCGTGGGGAGCGTACGGCAGTGGCGTCGACCGAAATTGGGTTTCGGTTTGGCGTCGAAAGTTGGTAAATGGCCTCTTTCGGCAAACTTTTGGTTTCGGCCGAAAGTAAATTTTTTGCTTTTAGTCTGGTTTCGGTTTCGGCCGACTACATTATCAGTGGTGTAGTGACTACATTATCAGTGACTACATTATCAGTGGCGTAGTGACTACATTGCCACTGGTTCTTCACGTTCTGTAGATGTAGATGCCACTGGTTCTTCACGTTCTGCAGATGTAGATGCCACTGGTTCTTCACGTTCTGCAGATGCCACTGGTTCTTCATGTTCTGCAGATGTAGATGCCACTGTTTCTTCACGTTCTGTAGATGTAGATGCCACTGGTTCTTCACGTTCTGCAGATGTAGATGCCACTGGTTCTTCACGTTCTGCAGATGCCACTGGTTCTTCATATGTAGATGCCACTGTTTCTTCACGTTCTTCATATGCAGATGCCACTGGTTCTTCACGTTCCGCAGATGCAGATGCCACTGGTTCTTCACGTTCTGCAGATGCCACTGGTTCTTCATATGTAGATGCCACTGTTTCTTCACGTTCTTCATATGTAGATGCCACTGGTTCTTCACGTTCTTCATATGTAGATGCCACTGTTTCTTCACGTTCTTCATATGTAGATGCCACTGTTTCTTCACGTTCTGTAGATGTAACTGATGATGCTCTTCCACACCCGTGGTTCTCCAGCACAGGATTAACCAATGAGAAGTAGTTCTAGTTGCGGGGGAGGGGGGGGGTTGACCATACTTCACCACACTGGTTGGTGGTGGAGGTTTGGGGTATCGCTCACCCGTGATGTTGGACATGGCCGGGAATCGAACTCGAGTAACCGAGGTCGTAATAAAGTGCTCTAACCACTCCAACCACTACACGACCGCTCCAAAGACAAAGAAAGATCCCCCCGTATAGCCAGAACAGACTGTTGGGGCAAGTGCTGTTAGCGAGCAGCACCTATGAAGGCCAGAACGGCACACGAGGGGGTGGGTGGCCAACACCACGCCCGGCCGCCTTTGTCTCCCCAGTGGCGATGTTTACTACACATCGCACCAGGTACTCATTTGAGGCTGAGTCGACCTAGGGGAGGCCCAGGACCGATTCAGATGCTCGTCACTGATTTTAGCCGTGAGTGGGAATCGAACTTGGGTCGCCAGGTTCGTAGCGCAGAGCGCTAACCGCTACACTACCGTTCCCCACACACACAAACAGACAAACGCACACACACACACACATCCGCACAAACATACACACACAGGCATATGTATACAAAGACTCCCCGTATAGCCTTAACAGACTCTTGCGGCTATACAAGACAAGACAAAGATCCCCCGTATAGCCTCCACAGACATTTGGGGAAAGTGCTGTTCGTGAGCACATATGAAGGCCGGCTCAGACACACACACACATCACACGGACACAGACAAATATATAGACAAACAGACAGATGGATAGAGAGGCTGACACATATAGTGATGGATACACAGAGAAGTACACTTTCTTTTTTATGTTACCAGGTAAGGCTCACAGAGCTACGTATCTCCTGGCCACAAATGATAGCAAAACGAATTGGCTCATCATCATCACGTGGCAATGTACAGCAGCCCAATACTCTAAACGCGTGCTGTTGATTATTTCAGTTTCATTTATTTGGTATAGCCCTGTGAGCCATTCGGCTCTTGAATCGGGTGCAACCGCAACAAACAAAAAACAATAAACAAGAAAATATCTTAAAGTGACTACGCGAAAAAACAAAAAAAATCCAGGGAAAACTGCAAAGTCTTCCAGAAAAAAAGCACCGTACACCAACGCTGTGCAAAAATCCCAGTGGGATGCAAGTCAAACAACAACCACAAGACAACTTATACCTGTGAAGGGGGGGGGGAACCGGAAGACCCGGAGATTAAAATACTCGCCACCACGGGGAGAGAGAGAGAGAACACGCAAACTCCAAATATACAGCAGCAGGCGTCAGGGTCGGGATCGAACCCACGACCTCCTGTATACCAGGCGAGGTAGTTAACATCTCCTAGCCACCGTGATGATGATGAGAGACGCAAACTCCAAATATACAGCAGCAGGCGTCAGGGTCTGGATCGAACCCACGAACTCCTGTGTACCAGGCGAGGTAGTTAACATCTCCTAGCCACAGTGATGATGATGATGAGAGACGCAAACTCCAAATATACAGCAGCAGGCGTCAGGGTCGGTGATCGAACCCATGACCTCCTGTACACCAGGCGATGTAGTTAACATCTCCTAGCCACCGTGATGATGATGAGAGACGCAAACTCCAAATATACAGCGGCAGGCGTCAGGGTCGGGGATCGAACCCACGACCTCCTGTATACCAGGCGAGGTAGTTAACATCTCTTAGCCATCGTGATGATGATGAGAGACGCAAACTCCAAATATACAGCGGCAGGCGTCAGGGTCGGGGATCGAACCCACGACCTCCTGTATACCAGGCGAGGTAGTCAACATCTCCTAGCCATCGTGATGATGATGAGAGACGCAAACTCCAAATGTACAGCAGCAGGCGTCAGGGTTGGGGATCGAACCCACGACCTCCTGTGTACCAGGCGAGGTAGTTAACATCTCCTAGCCACCGTGATGATGATGAGAGACGCAAACTCCAAATATACAGCAGCAGGCGTCAGGGTCTGGATCGAACCCACGACCTCCTGTACACCAGGCGAGGTAGTTAACATCTCATAGCCACCGTAGAGGACGTGGCGATTTAGAAGTTTGGAAGCGTCTGGTTTAAACAACAACAACAAAAAGAGAGGGACTACCTCCGTCTGACCTGTGATATTTATACGACATGGAAACAAAGTCCCGTGCGCGGATATAATAAATAATAAAATAATTGTGCATCCTTTATAGCCCGCGATGATTGTTCAGAGGTGAGCGTGGCGCGCAGTCCAGAGGAGGGAGACGTGAGCTCTTGCGTTCTCTTCTCTCGCGCAATCGGTCTCGCGCAATCGGTCTCGCGCAATCGGTCTCGCGCAATCGGTCTCGCGCAATCGGTCTCGCGCAATCGGTCTCGCGCAATCGGTCTCGTGCAATCGGTCTCGCGCAATCGGTCTCGCGCAATCGGTCTCGCGCAATCGGTCTCGCGCAATCGGTCCCGTGCAATCGGTCTCTCGCAATCGGTCTCGCGCAATCGGTCTCGCGCAATCGGTCTCGTGCAATGGGTCTCGCACAATCGGTCTCACGCAACCAGTCTCACGCAATCTCACGCATTCACTCGACAAGAAATCTGACTCTCACGCAATCGGTCTCGCGCAATCGGTCTCACGCAGTCTCATGCAATCACTCTCACGCAATCACTCTCACGCAATCTCACGCAATCTCACTCACACGCAATCTCACGCTCTCACACCAGCTCACGAGACCGAGGTTCCATGTTGGAGCCAGGTCCACCTGCCCTTCTGCCCTTTACCGCGACTGCCCGTCTGGAATTGCCCGGTGACGAACCTGTGACCGCTCACGTGACTGCCCTTCTGCAATTGCCCCGTGACTAACCTATTACTCTTCTTCTGTTACTGTTCCCTGACTGACCTACCCCGTGACCAGTAGTTGCGGCCTTAACTGCGCGACCATCAGTTTCCGTTTCACTGCCCTTCCCTTGACTCCCCTTTCACGCGACGACCTTTTGGCAATTGTAGCTGCGCCTCTCCCCCGTGACTACTCTCGTCACTGCGCTCTTGTCAGTCCACTCGGTGACTGCCCCTGCCATGACTGCCCTCCTGCGACTGCCCTTGTTGTGACCGCTCTCCCTGTTGTGACTGCCCGCAGAGCCACGGCCAACATACGAGGAGGAGGAGGAGGTTGAACTCCAGGTCAGGGCCAAGTACAAGGTGGCCCTGCCCAGCGACGAGGCCGAGCTGAGCAGCAACGAGACGAGCATGCAGGTGCGGTCCTTACGCGCACGTGGCCTGCACACGTGGCATGTCACGTGGCCCTGCACACGTGGCATGCACACGTGGCCTGCACACGTGGCCTGCACACGTGGCCTGCACACGTGGCCTGCACACGTGCCTCGCACACGTGGCCTGCACACGTGGCCTGCACACGTGGCCCTGCACACGTGGCCCTGCACACGTGGCCTGCACACGTGACATGCACACGTGGCCTGCACACGTGACATGCACACGTGACATGCACACGTGGCCTGCACACGTGGCCTGCACACGTGACATGCACATGTGGCCCTGCACACGTGGCCTGCACACGTGACATGCACATGTGGCCCTGCACACGTGGCCTGCACACGTGACATGCACACGTGGCCCTGCACACGTGGCCTGCACACGTGGCCTGCACACGTGACATGCACATGTGGCCCTGCACACGTGGCATTCACACGTGGCCTGCACACGTGGCCTGCACACGTGACATGCACACGTGACATGCACACGTGGCCTGCACACGTGGCCTGCACACGTGCCTCGCACACGTGGCCTGCACACGTGACATGCACACGTGGCCTGCACACGTGGCCTGCACACGTGGCCTGCACACGTGACATGCACACGTGACATGCACACGTGGCCTGCACACGTGGCCTGCACACGTGCCTCGCACACGTGGCCTGCACACGTGACATGCACACGTGGCCTGCACACGTGCCTCGCACACGTGGCCTGCACACGTGGCCTGCACACGTGTCTTGCACACGTGGCCTGCACACGTGCCTTGCACACGTGGCCTGCACACGTGCCTCGCACACGTAGCATGCACACGTGGCCTGCACACGTGGCATTCACACGTGGCCTGCACACGTGGCCTGCACACGTGGCATTCACACGTGGCCTGCACACGTGGCCCTGCACACGTGGCCTGCACACGTGGCCTGCACACGTGGCATTCACACATGGCCTGCACGCGTACCTTACACGCGTGCCTTGCGCCCCTCCCCCGCACACGTGACCTGCACACGTGGCCTGCACACGTGGCCTGCACACGTATGCCTTGCCCCCGTACCCCGTACACGTGCCTTAACACACCCACACAACACGAGTTCGCCGTGTGAAGCGCGCTCTCTCTGCAACACAACGTCACACACGCCCGGCTCACGGTGCCCTGTGCAAGTGAGGGCCTATCTCGTATACTCGATGCGGTGTGCCGGTTGCGGATGTTTGTTGTTGTTGCTGTTGTTGTTGTTGTTTTCCCGGGTCACCTACCCCGGGCAGACCCAGCTGTAATTAAGCCTGCGGCGGTCGCCCTTCCCAGGACTGTCCAGGCTCAAAGCCAGCTTAGCTTCTGAGATTTGGCGCATTCCAATTGAATTGTGACTATGAGATGTTAACTACCTCGCCTGGTACGCAGGAGGTCGTGGGTTCGTTCCCGACCCTGACGCCTGCTGCTGTATATTTGGAGTTTGCGTCTCTCATCATCATCACGGTGGCTAGGAGATGTTAACTACCTCGTCTGGTATGCAGGAGGTCGTGGGTTCGATCTCGACCCTTGACGTCTGCTGTACATTTGGAGTTTGTGTCTCTCATCATCATCACGGTGGCTATGAGATGTTAACTACCTCGCCTGGTATACAGGAGGTCGTGGGTTCGTTCCCGACCCTGACGCCTGCTGCTGTATATTTGGAGTTTGCGTCTCATCATCATCATGGTGGCTAGGAGATGTTAACTACCTCGCCTGGTATACAGGAGGTCGTGGGTTCGTTCCCGACCTTGACGCCTGCTGCTGTATATTGGGAGTTTGCGTCTCTCATCATCATCATCATCACGGTGGCTAGGAGATGTTGACTACCTCGCATGGTATACAGGAGGTCGTGGGTTCGATCCCGACCCTGACGCCTGCTGCTGTATATTTGGAGTTTGCGTGTCTCTCTCTCTCTCCCCGTGGTCATGTGGATTTTTCTACGGGTCCTCCGGTTTTCCCCTCCACATTTAGAAACACGCGTTTAGAGCATTTGGCTGCTTTACAATTTCCACGCGATGATGAAAGCCCCTTCGTTGAGCTGTCGTTCGTGATTTGTGGCCAGGTCGCTTCTAAGAAAGAGCTGCATAGCTCAGTGGGGGCTTACCTGGCAAAATAAAAGCCGTGTTTTAATAGTGCAGGAGGCACCACTACTTCTCTTATCAGTTTGACGCTTTTCAAACGAAGGTTAAGATCACCATTGGAACCTCATTTGCCAGTAAAAATATGATAATTGGTTTTTTACCCTTCTATCTGGCAACAAAACTGACACCTTTTTTTTACAAGGAGTCATGTTTACATAGACCACAATACCTGCAGTCATAATGCAAATGAGGTTCCAATGGTGTAAATGCTTACCCCGAGCTCTCATACTCTGATGGTGCATTGTCTTTGAGTTGTGCGCCTTTTGGCGTCATCTGGTCCAACCTATGTGAGACTAGGCTCTAAGGAAAGCTGTCTCTGGTGTGGACCAATCAACTTCAAGGACAGTGCACATTATCAGAGTTGTGTTTTTTGTTTGCATTATGACTGCAGGTATTGTGGTCTATGTAAACGTGACTCCTTGTAAAAAAAAGGTGTCAGTTTTGTTGCCAGATAGAAGGGTAAAAAACCAATTATCAAGGTTAAGATCGTCAATATATTACCTATGTCGAATTGTCTGTCTGTAACGGAGGGTTCACAATAACTCTAACACTGGGGAGACAAAGGCGGCCAGGCGTGGTGATGGCTACCAGATTGCGCGCAGTGAACCGGCCTTCGTAGGTGCTCGCTAACACCTCCGATTTGCACGGTTGGCTACGTACGGTGCGAAAGAACTTCAACATACAGTACATACACAGAGACCCACAGAGACACCCATAGACACTCACAGAGACGCCCATAGATTAGCACAGGTGACTACGTACGGTGCGAAAAAAGTTCAATATACAGTACATAGACAGAGACTCACAGAGACACCCATAGACACCCACAGAGACGCCCATAGATTAGCACAGGTGACTACGTACGGTGCGAAAAAAGTTCAACATACAGTACATACACAGACACACCCATAGACACCCACAGAGACATCCATAGATAAGCACGGTCGACTACGTACGGTGCGAACGAAGTTTAACATACATACATACGTACACACACAGAGACCCACGGAGACACCCATAGACACCAACAGAGACACCCATAGATTAACAGGGTTGCCCCGATAATTTACAAACGGGTATACCGAGGGACCTTTGTCGTTTTAATGCTTTACAACTTATGGTTGACAAGCGTGAACGCGTCAGCTCTGTCCGTCCGTGGGTGTCTATGTGTCTCTGTGCGAGTCTATGGGTCTATGTGTGAGTCTCTGGGTCTCTGCGTGAGTCTATGTGTCTCTGTGTGAGTCTATGGGGGTCTGTGTGAGTCTGTGGGTCTCTGTGTGAGTCTGTGGGTCTCTGAGTGAGTCTATGGGTCTCTGTGTGAGTCTGTGGGTCTCTGTGGGAGTCTATGGGTCTCTGTGTGAGTCTATGGGTCTCTGTCTGAGTCTATGGGTCTGTGTGTGAGTCTATGAGTCTCTGTGTGAGTCTGTGGGTCTCTGTGTGAGTCTATGGGTCTCTGTATGAGTCTATGTGTGAGTCTATGAGTCTCTGTGTGGGTCTATGGGTCTCTGTGTGAGTCTATGGGTCTCTGTGTGAGTCTGTGTCTCGGTGGGTGTCTATGGGTTTCTGTGCGAGTCTATGGGTCTCTGTGTGAGTCTCTGGGTCTCTGTGTGAGTCTATGGGTCTCTGTGTGAGTCTATGGGTCTCTGTCTGAGTCTATGGGTCTGTGTGTGAGTCTATGTGTCTCTGTGTGAGTTTATGGGTCTCTGTCTGAGTCTATGGGTCTCTGTGTATGTATGGTGAACTTCTTTCGCACCATACGTAGCCAACCGTGCAAATCGGAGGTGCCGGAATGAGACTATAGTCTCGAGTTGTTTGGGACTTGTATCCTTGGGGGGGAACAGGACAGAGCCCATTTAAGAAACGCAACGCCTTCCGTCAATAACACCGTGGCCTTAAAATAAATGCGTAACGATGGCCTCTTCCTCATAGCAGGTAGGGAGGTAGAGTCATTCCACGCTAACACCTCCCTGGCCTCTCCACGTGCTGTGAAGATGGAGCATTGCTCCAACGTGCCGAGGTGGATCGTCGCATCTGCGTCTTCATCACCGACAACGCAGTAACGGGAACATAAGAGCATCGTCACCACCGACATAATCTGTTTTAAATTTTACAAAAATCATTGGGGAACCCCCCCCCTCCCCAAAACGTGGAAGAACTGAAAAATCAACGGATAAACAAACAAACAAAAAGTAATTGACAAACGCTTGTTGGAAAACGTTATTTTTTAAAATAACAAAATCCATGCTCGTGCACGATTTTTCTTCCTTGTTCTTACCACGTTTAATAATAATAATACAAAATCCATGCACGCGCGCGATTTTTCTTCCTTGTTGTCACCAATTTAAATAATAATACAAAATCCATGCATGCGCGCGATTTTTCTTACTTGCTGTCACCAATTTTTTTTCTCCCCCCTCGCTTCGTCGAACACGAAAAAACCTTTTTCCTTTCATTGTTGCATTGTCGCCGAGACGATTGCCAGAGGCACTTCGAGTCGCCGGCTCGCCCAGCGGCGGTCCCTGAGGTCGGCTCGAGAAAGTCGTTTTGGAATTATGAATTTTTTTTTTTGAACTTGGCTTCCAAGCGGTGTGTGTCCGGCGATTTACCAAATCCCACAAAAAAATCTCGGACGCAACCTTTTCTTTTATGCGTTTTAACTCACGGCCAGGGCGGTCGCAGCGATGTTGAGATCCTACGATATACACGTAGCAACGCACATTCGAACGTAAGCTGGACTCTCATTCTGTGTCTTCAAGTATAATTAATATTTTACAGGCTCATGATTATAGTAGGTTTTTACCCTTTCAACTGGTACAAAACTGACACCTTTA